ATACCACCAGATTTTTAGCTACTGAACAGTAGCACTTTATAGCCTGTTTCTGTCCATCTATTTAGAAGTGAATCTGTCCTTTCAGGAAGAGGATAATTATATGTTGGACATTTCCAGATTTCCTCCTGTCCAAATTATCGACAAGCAACTCCTGCTGTGTCTAGTCCAGTGTTATAAACACTGATAAATGTGAATATTAAACCCCAGAACATTTACAAAGTGGTGAGAGAGGGGGAAATCCTCCCCCCTCCCCTTTTGGAATGGTTAAAAATGTTGCCCCACAGATCTGTTGAGTGTGAGCAGAAAGGTTCTCAGAATAAAAACCAACCTAAGAAGATCATTCAGTGATCGTTTTAGAAGGCTTATGACCCAATCCATCACCAAAGCCTATTATAGAAATTTGAAAACTACAGTGTTAAAAGGTAAATTTCTGCCATGGGTTAAAAGCTATTTATGAGATAGAGAAAACAAAGGAGAAGAAAAAAGATTTAATTCTTGCCATACAGAGAGGTTAATATGGAGTGCCCCGAGACTTGCTGTTGGGACTGATTTTTTTTTTTTGTCCCTTTAAATCCCTGGCATAATGCAAAAAGTCTTGGCTTACTCAGCAAATATTCTGCACTCCTCTCTTGCAATAAATACTTGTGCTTCAGCTCAGATTGGAATAGCACCCACCAGACTATCAGGGCACCCAGGGAGGAAGCTCAATCTCCAAGTGGTTCCACTTCAGCAAAAACATCCCAAGGGGGGGATCTCCCCTTGGTTGCCCATAAATCAGAACAAAGACAATCTTTCTTTTCAACATTCCACAAGTCTGAAGCTCTGCAAGGCAGATAAAACACATTTTCCCCTTGAATATATTAAAAAAAATAAAATATGTGGGAGCCATGCTGCTGCTCTGGAACACATTGCTGTTATATCTGAATGAATGGCATGAAGCATCAAAAGGAGTCTTTAAATACAAAGTAAAACCTTAAAGGTTTAAGTGCATGTATGCAGATGTTCAGCATGGAAGTAATGATATATATATTTATACAGCTCATAATAAAAAATATATATATCAAATAGTGAAAATATATATATATATATATTTATATTTATATTTATATATATACACACACAGCTCATTTTCCAGTAAATGCAGCTATCTGGAAAAAATAGTAAAGGAAGTTTCATCCAGATGAAGATTCGTGAATCTGCCAATACAGACATTAATGGATTCAGATTAGCAGCTGGGAAATCTTGATGGTCCCTCTTCTGATGGAAATCAACAGTGGATTTCCCCCTTGAAAGGAATTCAGGGAGTATCCCTGATTTTATTGGTATTGGTAAGAATAACTATAATTTTTTTTTAAATATGGATTTTCCATATTTTCCTTTTCCTTTCTCTTGTTCTCAGATAGAAAGATTATGGTAAAGCTGAGTTTACTTGTTTATTTTGTTAAAAATGTAGCATCTCCCTTTCCTTATATGCCTCAGTGTTACTTAGCTGATAAGAATAGAGTTTAATTAAGTTAGAGAGGCCCACTAACCATAATAAACCCCAAAACATCTGTTTGCTGGAGCAGACTGGTAACTTCTGCCCATTTTTTTCCTTCTGAACATGTTGTTAACAAAAATCAGAATTGGGGTTTTTTCACAGCACAATTCCTTAAGACTTACTGTGTCATGCCCAGATCTCCACTGTTATAAAAAAATCATCATATATTATTTCACACATTACTTGATTAAGCATAATCTTGTAGTTTCTCGCCCACTTTGCTCCGAATGTAAAACCTTTGAAAATCTCAGTCACTGGTGATTAGAAACCTTACTTCCCTTTCCAGATAAATGTATAATAAAATTTCATTATGAATTTTATAATTTCTTCTTATATTCTCTCTTCCTGGATGGTTCTTTATGGTTAGATTTATAAGAAGGAAACATCTTTATTAGCTGTACCATATTTCTAAGCCAAGTCAATCTGTTTCAGTCTATCAGGGTTTTTGGTGATAACAAAAAATTTACTTTCCTTCCATCATCCAAGTGAACCTTGTGCACCCTGTCCCTATTTGAGAGCATCACTCTTGATGTGGAAGGATCAGAAATATATAAATATATCATTATTTCTTTTTATTTCTTAGAGGTCAGTGCAGGCCATCAAAAGTGATAGTGCCAAGACTTAAAAAAAGAAATACTTTTTGAAAAGTAGTTATTCTGCACAGAAATGAAGGTCCCAAGAGTCAGTCCTTGTACCTTCCTCATTTGGTGTACAGGACCCCTGGAGCTGTTCTGGCCTCATCCACCCCATCTACTTTACAGCTTTGTTTTGGGTAAGAGAAATGAGGGAAGACCATTTCTTGAATCAGAGAAACTCTGGGAACAGGGATAAAGAAGCAAAGGAAATAAAAGCAGGGCAAGTGGTGGAAAGCAGGGCTGGGATGTCCTGGAGTGAATATTGAGACCGAATTTGTCCCATCACTAAATGGTCTGCTAATGCAGGCTCTTTGCATGGCACTGAGACAGGAGGAGCTGGGTATCCAGACTCTTCTTTTCCACATTTCTCTCAGATTCCTTCTTTTCTCTGCAGCTTTGCACCAATATTCCCCTCTGCCAGGTACTGAGAGAACTGATTTGGTTCCAGGCAGGAGGCAACTGTTTTCCCTGTGCAGACCACGCACCCACACGCCCCAATACACACACACCTCTCAGTGGAAACTTCTCCAGCTGTATTTTCTCTCCAGAAAGCTGCTTTATGTAATTCCATATTGGCTGAAAGGATTTTCGGGGGAAAATACATCCAAATTAAAATCAACCACTTTAAAAACATGGAAAGAAAATTGCTGTGTAACAGTCATACTCCTGCCAGAGAAAACCAGGTGTAGAAAGGGAAGAAAAGCCTTTCTAAGGGTTTTAGAGCTGGGAAAGCCTGGGAACTTCATTTTTAAGGATTCTTAGAAATGCAATGATTTACTGCTGTTGCTCACTGAAAGTGTGCTGGCTATGGAAAAATGCAGAGAGGTTTATGCCAAGGTGGAGAAGATGAGGAGCTCTGGGATCCTGACAGAGCAGCCTGACTTCTCCAGGGTCCAAAAACCTGAGCACAAATGCTGACAAATCTATAAAATGAGATCAATCCCAGGAGGGAGAATGCAAAGATTTAACTGAGCACTACTGCAGCATCACACGTGTTAATCAGAAGTTACCAGCAGCATCGACCCCAGGGCTATGGCAGCTAATAATTAACTTAATTGTGCCACAGGCCACCCCTGGCTGCTGCAGGAGCCCTTGGGGCCAGCTGGGAGACAAAAGGGAAAGGAGAAGGGAAAAGCTGAGCACAACTCCTGTGTCCTGAGGAAGCTGGAGAAGAAGGAATAATCACTCAGAGCTTGTCTCTGAGCAATCAGGCACCTTACATTATGGCTGGAATTTTTAACTGTGAAAGCTCTGGGATATCAGCAGTGCCTTGTTGAGCTGTGACCAAGGATTAGCTGCAAACAACCTCTGAGGAGCTTCCCCAGCCCTGAAAGCTCAGAACCCTCCCAGCATAAGCAAAGAGCACGCAGGGAAGGCACCATGGAGTGCTGCTAAATCTCAGAGTCTGAGCTTTGCTGATCTCACGACTGCAGCACAAAGAAAGGTTTGAAGCATCCACCTTTCTGCCACCCCTTCTGTGCCAGTGGAGGAGCAGGGAATGAGCTCAGAAGTGTGTGGCCCGTGGGTTCTGTTTATAACCAGCGTGATCAGCCAGAGAGGAAGAGCTGCAAAACTGCAGCACAAGTGTGAGTGCATTTATTATGGCTGGAGTTTTGATGGTTGGGAAACTCCCAGTGGGATCTGGGAGATGCAAGCAGCTGACATTTAAAACATTTTAATTCCACCTTCATGTCCCGCTAGCACTTTAAAGAGAAAAGAATTCACGCAGTTTCCTTCCACTCTGATGCCTCATTTTACCTCATTCACTTTACACCACCTAATGCTAATTCTACATCCAATATTTTCTGCAAAGGCTGACATTGATTTTTTTTTTGCACCCATTTTAGATTTTTTTTTTAAATGTTTAGATTTAGAGGATGTGTTTTGCTCCTCTGCAGCTCTGGTAGTTCCTACACCAGTCCCCTTTGCACGGGGGTGACCCCACCTGGGTGAAAACCATCCCCTTGCTTTTCCATATGTCTGTACATGTTGTAGAGCCTCTCGGTGTCCCCCAGTGGGGCACAGAGGTGTCTATATGTCCCTTTTGTGGTCTAAGAAGAGATTTTTTAGTAGTAAAATATAATAGTAAAGTATTACAATATATATAAGAGCATATGGGGCCCTGAGCAACCTGATCTGGTGGGTGCCATCCCTGCTCATGGCAAGGGGTTGGAAATGATGATCCTTAGAGTCCTTCTGACCTTCTGTTCCTTTCCATGATTTAGGATTCCTTTCTATTTTTTGCATTTTCAACAATAAAGAGCGTAGAAAGGACCAACGACATGATATTTTTAGCCATCAGCAATCAGTTCATTCTAGTTTGGAGATCCCAAAATAGAGGAAACACACACACCCCGATTTCCTGCTTAACACCTTTAGTCCATGCTGTGTGAGCAGCTCAAAGCCCAGGGCCGGGCATGTCTAGCAGCCTGCCCAGGGCTCGGGGGGCAGTTCAGTTCATTTTCCCAGATTCTCATGGCTGGCTGGAGCTCGGAACACCCTCCAGCTCTTCTGGGCCAGTGCCAGAGGCAAAGCCTGCAGGACCAGCATCCTCCGAGGGGCCTGTCCAGAGTTCAGGATAAAGGACAGGGGAGCACCCAGAGCCCTGGACGAGGAGCTGTCACAGCTCCAGCTGGTGCTGCTCGCACCCTCCGCCCGCCGAAATGTCAGACCCGCGGAGGTGGCATCAAATTAACACAGAAATGAGGGGGAAAGCAGCAGCTCTTCGTTTGTTTACTCCGACCCGCCTGTCTGATCTCATCAGCGCTGCCACCTCTCCCGCTCTTAACACTCCTGTCTCTGAAAAGGAAGCAGAAAGGACCAACCTTGAAAGCTGATTTTTCCCGTCTGGCTGCTTCTCCCGTCGAATAAAAGAACCAAGAGCCGGCTACCAAAGTAGCCAAACTATTTATACCCCCAAATGCTGGTTAACCCCCGAGATAAGCGGGAGGTTGGGGAGCCAGGAACAGCACATGACTCCAAGGATGGGCTATTTTTTCTCTGTAAATAAAGTACTGAAGTAAGGGCGCTTTGGCAAACAACTGAATGAACCACACATTTCTGCTCAGCTGTGTTTACTCATCTGTGCTGTTCCTGCTTTGCTGAGACCTTTCCCAGTTATTGCATGTTTTTATAGTGACTGGTAGGACCCGAGTTTTTTTATTTGTTTTTCAATTCCTTCCAAGCTCCAAAAGAAGCACATGCAGATTTAATTGTTTTCTGTAATTGTTTGCAGTTTTGACTCACAGGATGGATTTGCCATTTGAGTGGAATTTAGATTCCAGGTTGCTTTTATTAGAAATAAAGAAGCATTAAAATCTAATATAACAGAGGGAGACACCCAACTCAGTTATTCAGTTTTCATGGTATTGCTTGGCTGGATGAGTGGTGGGACATCAGTGAGAAAGGGCTGTGTTCTGGTCAGGTCCGTGGTGGAGCATTGAACTACTTTCTTTTCCACTTCGAACTTTTTGAAGAAAAATAAAACTGTTTTTTTGTGGCTTTTTGGTTGAGTGGTTGGTTTGGTTTGTAGTTTTATAGAAGTGTTTTCGGTGAATATTTTGACTGAATATAAAACCCCAAATTTTCTGCAGAAGGAAAACATCTGAAAAATAATTCAAGTTGAAGAAACTCCATTGTTCAGTCCTCAGCAAATCTGCAAGGTTGTCACTCTCACATTGTCACTTGACTGTATTTTAGTCCTACATATATTTGCCATTTACATTACAAACTCTTGAGCCTGAGCCATTTATATCCTGAGTTTTGGCCAACTAAAACAACACAAGCAAGTTCAGCTGGAAATAACATTTGCATGACTCCAGCTGCTTCCATGATCACCCCCAACTTCAGTCTGGTGTTATTATGCTCTTGATTCCATGTAATGAAACGTGAAACATTTTGAAAGGATCAAAGGTGACCATGCCCTAAGCTGCAGAGGGAGTGGAGCCACTCAGGAAGTGTCCAAGGTCAGGCTTGGAGAAACCTGGGCTAGTGGAAGGTGTCCCTGCCCATGGCAGGGGGTGGAACGAGATGAGTTTAAGGTCCATTCCAACCTAAACCAGTCTGATTCTGTGATTTTGTGATTCATCCAGTGGTGAAGCACAAACAGGTGGCACAGCCAGGCCATGATTAGCTTGTTAAGCCAATGGTAATAATTAACTGGTAACAGCTGATAATGGTAACACCAGAAACGGGGATGGGAACAGGTGGTGTGGGTGACACAGACCTTGAGCCTTTTGAAGGAGGGGAGTGCTGGGACCTGGCTGGGTTTTCCAGGTGCCACCAGCTGGTTTTCCAGCTTTAAATCTGTGCTGCCAGACCTTTGTTGGTACCTGTTGTCCTGGGACCCCTCACACACCCTGATTCCAGCAGGCAGGTCTTTCCCCCATCACACCTGGGGCAGTTTCTGTGCTCATCCTCTGCCTGTGCCCACACATCACATTCCCTGCTCCAGAATGATCCTGTTCAGCACCAACAAACCCACTCAAGAGGTTTTATTGAAGGTATGTGTATTTAAGATGTTAAATTACAGATGCACGTTCAGTTTTCAGTGGTGTCTTGCTGACAGTTGGACCAGGGAAATGGTTTTTAGGTCGAGAAACTCATCAGGAAACGGGACTGGAGTCTCTCAGTTGGGGTTTCTGTTTATTTCTACAGTATTAAAGAAAACATGGCTTGGTTTATGTAAGTTTTTGGTAAATATTATTGTACGTAGGATATATTTCACTAATGCCAACAGTGTATTATTTTACCCAAATGAACTGCTGGCATGATTATTTTGATTATTTGTCTGTGAAAAACGTTCACTGAGGCCATGATATTTCACCCCTGGGTGTTAGATTTATTCTATACACATTAAGACAGCTCTGGCTTTCAGTATTGTAATTTGGAAATATAATCTAACCACACTTCACAAGAATTTACTGTCTCTTTTGATCCTTGACCTGTTTATATGGTAATTATTAACTAGCCTAATTCTGAGAACTGTGTTCACGTTACGTTTTTACACAAGATACCTTGGCATGATAAAATGATGCCTAATACAAGTCAAGGTTGCTTTTGCTCAACCAGAACAGTCACATTAATTCTAAATTCAGTGTAAACAAGAAGCAGAATAAATGTTTTCCAAGTAGAAGAACAAACCTGGCAAGGAATAAAACATATTCATGCTTTTAAGTTCATAATATGAGTGTGCAGAAATACAGAATCTCAGTTTTCAAGGATGTCAGGACATTTTACAGGCTACGGTTTATATATTGTTTTCCCTTTAATTTTGAGCTAATTCTTTATTTTAACCAGTCTTAATCTGTTCCATTCCAGGTATTTATAATTTGTACATATATCCAAGATTGAATTTGGGGCTGATTTTGAACGTCTTTTCAGGCAAGTGCAAATCAGAGCACAGATTGAATTTACCTGGGGATAAAGTACCAGCACAGAAACCCCCCACTATGAACTTATTCTGACTCACATAATAGCAAGGCTCCAGTGCTGTCACTGATGCTGTCACAGTCTGTGTAAGGATCAGAAGAGTTACTGGTTTTAATAACTTATTATTGCATGATTTTTCACATCACTGCTTCCTTGACCTCAAGAAAGTCATCTCCTACACCATACTCAGATAAACCATATATATTCAGTTTTATAATTCACTCTCTATAAAATATCTTTTCCAGACATCCTACTTTTCATTTTCTGAATATTTCTTATTTTCATTGTCAGTTTGGAAATTAGGCTGCAGAATTAAACAGACCATTCCAATAATGGTCTCCATGGACAAGATGCCACCTCTTCCCTGCTTCTTCTTCTTCCTGTCCTTGCTCTTTCTTGCAGCACTTTGCTAACACTTTATATTCAGCTTCTTATCTAAGATCCTTGTTTCTGCAGTGCAGGATATGTTGATTTTCTAAGCATAAATATGTGACATTGCAGATGTACAAAGCGTGTTTGTCTACAGTAAAATATATGTGATTTACACTTGGACATGGCAAACCTTCCCCAGTCGTTCTTTAATCCATATTTCATTGTACATTAGTATCAAATCAGAAATGGCCAGAAACTATTTTTCAATGTGTTTTAACATAGATTGTAGTAGTGTGAAAAGTCCAAAAGCAGTGGTTTAATGTTGCCCAAGTGTACCATTGATCATTAAAACTAGTACTAGAGTGAGTGAAGTCCTGTACTTTAACACCTACTGAAATAGAAGTGGTATAGATCCTCCTCTAGTGTAAATAGTCATGCTGAAATCAAAATGAATAAACCTGTGATCATTTATGCCAAGTAAGAGCTGGCATTTCCTAAGTTTACCAATATTTAGCTGTATTTTAAATTGCCTTTTTCATATTGAAAGGAAAAAAAATAAAAAAACAACTTCTTTATTTATCCTCTGAAATTTGTCTTTGCTTCCTACGTTTGGGAACTAAAATACAGAGGGTGGAAAAAAGGCAGGAATTGCTAAATAGAAATAGCTCCCTCCCCTGTCACGAGCTGTGTTATGGCATAGAAGTCAGCTTTTTACATTTTTCTCTTTGCTTAATATTTCTTAGTCAAGCTCTTTGCTGTGCAAATGAGTGGGCACATGCAAATAAACAAATTTACTAATGGCCTTTAATGTTGTCAATAATTTTAAAATCTAAAGACTTAAGAAAATAATGTGGCCAGAGAGGAAACCTCCTGAAAAAGAGTCTTACACCACCTGTAGGCAGCGTTTCTAGCAGAAAAAAACAACCAGTCTCAGACAAATCATGGTAAAAAATGTCCTCTGCCAACAAATCTTTGGGTTACTGCTACAAATACCCTCATTTCCCATCCCAGTAAAGCCTTTTTTTGCCTCTGAGTGGAGCAAAACAGTTTGAAGATAATGACTTGAATACTACATTTGAGAAAAGACTGTAATCTTAATCAGGGAGGGGTGGAAGCAGGGAGAAGATTACACAATCAAAAGATAGGAAGAGTGTTTATTCATTATTAAGAACAATTTATCCTCTGCTATTTCTGCATCTCCTGGTGCAGGCTTTAAAACATATGGAACTTGCACAGGAAGGGGCTGGGAGGAGACAGGAATCTTTTTAAGGCAGATGTATTTCATGGCATCCTAGGGAATAGGAAAGATTACTCTCTGCATTTCAATAGCTGGCATTCAATCTGATTTTTAGAAATCCCAGACCATAGGACTTCCATCTCTTCTATTATTCAACAGTTTAATGTGCTGCATTTCTTGATATTTACATCAAATGTCTTTCATCCCTTATAATATATTCCCTTCACCTGTTAAAATTCTACTGTCATATAACAGAGTGAATAATTATTATCCTTTCTACAGGCTTATGTCCTCAGACACTTGAAAGCTGTTATTGTGTTCCTGCTTATTCCCTATTTGGCCAAATTATAACTGCTTAATTCTCTTCATTTTTCTTCCCACTTCAGTTCTCACAAAACCCCTTAATTTTTTATTCTGTCTCTTCTCTGATTCCCTTCCAATGCAACATCTTTCTGGGAGAGCATTTCTCAGAGTTGCCTGCAATGGCCAGAGCAAGGTTGCAGATAATCCCTGCTCTGTGACTGCCATCCATGGCCAAAATCCTTTGAAGTCCCTGGCTGAGCTTCCAGTGGATGCAAACGGTGCTGGATCTTAAACTTGCATTTTACTTTTTATGCTTCTTGTGACATCCTCCAACTCTCTTCTCTATTACTACTATTCCATTTCCTAAATTGCTGGTTCATCTTCTGATTGGTTCTGTGCTTTCTGTTGGCTTTGTGTTTGCAGTAAAATAATTTTCCTCCCTTGCTGAATCTGTTTTGGCCAATGTGCACCCATGCTTCCTCTCAGAACCTTTTTATTTCACTCTCCTTATTGACATTTCAAATCTTCTAGAATGAGCATAATCTGTGTGTTTAATTAAGATCTCAATTATGTCCTTTTTCTAAATCATTAATGAAGATATGAAGTAAACCCAGACTAACAATCAGTGTGTGTTACCCCACTGGACATTTCCAACCATCTTGTTTCACAGCTGTTTGTCATAATTTTTTTCATTTGTCTTTTAGCCAATATTCAATCCACACACCATTGTCTCCAGCCAAGCAGACTTGAATTAATTTTTCAATTAAGATTTCATGAGACAGTGTCAAATGCTGTACTAAAATCCAAATATCTGTCAACTCCCATTCTGGGGTTTTTTTATTATTTTTCTTTACTTTTTTTTTTTTCCCTACTCCATCTGTTTAAAAAAGTTATTCCTTCAAGTGCTTCACACAAAGACATCAACAACCATCCCACATCTGGATCACTTTAAAATTGTGCTTGTCAGCAGGTAGACTTGAATTACCTGTTTGTCTAAACACCATTTAGCTGAGGGTTTGCAGACCATGAAGAGACATCTCTCTCCTTCACTCTGCAGAGTGACTGATGAAAGCTGGAAGAGTTACAGGCTTGTTCTAACTAAATCCACTTTCAGACTCCTAAATCTCTCCATTATTTTAGTTTACACAGATTGAAAATACTTTCTGTCCCTTCCTTATCATGGTCCAAAAAGCAGCAGATGAATGTGTAGCTGCATTCACTGATTTTTATGCCAACTAGAGAAATTTCTTTCCACCTCCATCATCTGGTGTCCGTGGTGTGCCCAAGCCAGCAAACCCAGGCTTCCTAAATCCAGGGTGCTCCTCCTCAAAGGGTCTGAGGATTTGAATTTTGACAGTTTCATTCCTTTCCATTAATCCTCTGGTATTTCCATTTCTTTCAGAGGGACTAATCATGTAGAGAAGTGCTGTTAATGTTAATTAAAACAGTCTAACTTGGATTTTTTTAGAGCTGCTCTGTGCTTCTCTTGTTGAGGGGAAAAGATGATAACCTGTTGTATTAACACATTATTCAATTTAGTTAATTCCTTTCATTCACTGAAAACAGCCATGAAAGTAATTGTTCTTGTCTCTGTTAACTCGCTGTGTCCTGGATCCTCACTCTTTACTGAGTTTCATGTGATTAAAAAGATAGTAAATTTCTATGAACATATCATTTGTGTCCAATTAAAAGTAAATCTCCAGCCACTAGAATGGATTTCAAATTAATTCACAGTGACTAATTAGAAGGCGTGTCTTCATTTATTCTAGAAGAATATTACCAGAAAAACATTTTATAATATATTCACACTCCTGCCAACACAGAGGAACCAATAAACAAGTTTTGAAGTATTAAAGTGCTTTCTCCTTCTGTGAGAGACCATCAATGTCCATTTTTTCAGTAGCCAGAGACTCAGATTAATTGCTGAAGGATTATGTATTTCTTTTTTTTAAAAAATCACATCTGAATCTATGAAAGATTTAAAGAGGCTTTTGAATAATGAAGAAAGCCATTGAAATTAAAGAAAGCCAATGGCTTCTATTTTATTGCAAACATATTTTAAGGCTTGACAACAGTTGCAGTGTTCCCCTAATTTTTGCTGTAAAAGGGAAGTAAAACAATAGTTTATTGTGGCAATACTTCATACTGCCCTACTTCTGT